ACGTATTTCACTCTCTATTTCTTCTTTTTCTACGCACCAATTTTTAAGGGTCAACGAATGGACTTCAGTCAATTCTTGCAGTTCGCGAAGCTCATTTCTTAATAATTTAGCTTTCTCGAGTATATTTGCAATATGTAAACAGTCACTACGACACATATTACTTGTATCTACCCTGGAGAGTTCTTCTATTTTCATATTCAGTATTTCCTCTTCTTTTCTAATGTTTGCAGATTTCATTTCGATTTGTTGCACATTGCTTTCTTCGATGAGTTCTTCTTTAAACGACATCAATTGCTCAGCTACTGTTAACTGCTTTTCGATAGCAGCAAGTTTGCAGTCGATCAAAATTTTGTTGGAATCTTCTAATGCCTAGAAAAAGCATCTTTTTAATCTTACCAGTGTAAATATTTAAATATTCCACTCATAGGTTAATATATGTAAGATGTAAATCATACACTGTGAATAGGATTTTTCTCGATTTTAACTGGTCCAATGTCCTCATCTTTAATGCAGGTATTCACGTCCTGCAATTTTTGCCGCAATTCCATAAGTTCATTTTCCGGAATTTGTGATGATTGACGCAACTCATCCTCTACTACCTACAATTTCCTAATAAAGCTATAATAGTCATCACGTGAAACGTAAGAAATTTTGTATAGCATCTGTTGCTCTTTTAGAGTGAATTAATGTTCGTTACGATCAGTTTTCTAGATATGCATGAGAACACAATTTGCTGATGAACACTTTAGCTTGCTCATTTTTAAATGCACTATCCACCTGAATAATTGTAGTTACAGTTCTTGAAATCATCAGCACAATCTTTTTTCGTCTCGAGTTATGGCCAGGAGATGCTCGTGGTGAAACATTCTCTACTATATTTTCCACATATTTTCTTCGCACTAAACATTGTGATCGTATGAAATCCATCTGTGACTGAACACGTTCTAATTTGTTTCGCAACTGAAAATTATTTTATAACAGGTTTTTTTTGACCTTCTATAAGTGGTTTGATTTGTTCATGATGTGAAATTATCACGTTTGCAAAATATAAAATTGCTTTTCCTAGTTACACACGATTATTGTTTATAAAAAGTAAAAATCATATCATCTTTCATAACTAAAAGTTCAGATTCATTAATGGATAGACTTTGTAGAAGCCAAGTACACACGTCTTGAATGACACTTTGCGCCCGATAATCAATATTGGCATTCAGATGATTCAGCTCTTGAACAATCGCGTCATAATTAGTTCGCAGTAACACCTCATCATCAATTTCCTTTTGCAGCTCTTGAATAAATATCTGCAATAAGGCAAATTAATTGTAAAATGATGGTAATCATAAATAAGTTTCCAAGTCTTGCAAAGTATAAAATTTTTCACGTTGTGCTTTTACATGATAAAAAAAATGATACAACATTATCCCGGAAGATTAATAAAAACAGTCATCACTGTTTCGGTACGAAATTAGGTTAGTTTTATTATTGAAATGATTGGCGAATCTCTTATTGTAACACACGAACGATTGAGAACTCAAGTGTTGTTTTGAAAATTCATTAAGTTGATTCGTACTAAAACATGATATTGCTCACAGTTTTTCAAAAAACAAAAAATAACCGTATATGGTTCTTCTAGTGATTGCAGATGTAATGTTAAAGACCGAACCACGGCCAAATTTTCATCAGAAAGATTGGACACAGTATTGCAAGAGATATTCAGCTGACGCCTTCTTTCATTAAGCTCCTGCAAATATAATAAATACTAAAAGAGTTTTTGTAGTTAAATATAGTAGTAGTGATGATCATAAATATGCATTTCCTGAATTTAAGGCCTTAATGGGGTATCTAACTTCTTGAAATGACAAATGTTTGCAAAATTGAATAAGGTAAATGTATACATTTCATTAACTTAATAAAGCTAATATCCCCAATAGTTTTACTATTTTTATACGGTGGTTACAAAATATATTTTATTCCTTCAACAAAATAGTTTAGAATGCATTCACTGCAAAAATCAGTTTGCTGACAATTGTCAAAGAAACTATTTTAACTGCAGTCAGTGCAGAAGCTATTGGAGAATACAATCGCATGTAAACAACTTACCTGAAGCTTCTTCAGGTCACGTTGAGCGTTAATTAGCGGTTTCAGTGAACGAGCGTAATCTCCACTTAGACTACTTAAAAAGTCCGCCAAAAAATTCAACTCTTCATCAGTATCTGTTAACAACTGTTGTATTTCCTTCTCTTCCTTTGCTTTTAATATTCGCTGTGCCTTTAAATGCTTATGTGAGATTGAAAGCATATACTACATTAATCACAATAAATAAATTTCAAATTTCAGTTCATTTTCATTATTCATTATACTACCGAATAGATTCTTCACTATCCATTACGTACCAGGAAATCAAGAATACACGCATTAAGAACTTCAAAGTAATTACATACCATTTATGCGATAAATGACAGTGCATGGATTGAAAGAGAAATTTTGGGATACTATTATGCATTAACACTTATTTTTAAAACGCTGAGATCACACAAAATCTACTTATGCACGACCAGCAAATCAAAAATGTTGGATGGATCTTTATTACACAAAAAGACTGCTTTATAAACGTATCTTTCTGAGATAGACAGGACGAGCCTAATCCCTTCCTAATTTGCCATACAGACTACATAAAGTTATGTAAAAGTAGGAATGAGAATATCTAAACTATTTTTTGGCTTTTGGTAGTGCTAATTCATGACAGAAAAGAAGCAAAATATCACTGAAAGAGTTAAATAATCTAAGAGACAGTATCACGGATCACATGTATGAATTCCCAAATTCCAAAATAAACGTAAATCTTTAAGGGTTAATGAAGATACCAGATTTCTAGTTGAGTTTGTTTCTTCGAATAAATCCTTGCTGATCTCTGTCGTCTCTGTGTCTCCCCTCTCATTTTCAGAACATGAGAATGAACTAATGGGAAACTGAAAAATGAAATGATTATAGATATTTCTACATTAGTTACATTAATAACTCCCCTATAGTTTTCTTTCATAATGGAATGAACATTTTTTGGTCACTGATGACGAATTTAATGAAAAATCATGATCCAAGTTCTACAAAATATACTTTGATTTTCAATTGTTACAGCGTAACTCAATAACTTTTAACCATATAACGTTGAAAAGAATCACAGAAAAAACAAATATCTTAGATCTTTTGAGCAGTTTTGAGATGACAAAGACATAAAAAAAACTCTAAAACAGGGTACGATAGCTGAATTCAGCGTCAACAAAACTTTTTGCGAAATCTGGTAATTAATGAAAATCATTATTATAAATACCTCTGAATGCACTGACGATGAAAGCAAGTCCAAATCTGCAGACTTTTCTTGTTCACGAAAATCCCACATATTAATACGATCTAGTAAGGTGAAATACCGATTACACTGCCTTTTTACTTCATTGGAATGTGGTGAGTCCAGTCTAGAGTTCAGAAGTTCATTCACTAACGTCTGATATGATAAGCAAACTTTATGAATTTCAGCCATTCTGCAAATAAAAATGTTGAACTATTTGAAATTGATAAAACTGCTAGACTCTATATGTGACAAGTATGACTTATTGATTAGTATTTTTGATAACAAAAAAACACTATCTTTTATGTACACCAAATATTTATCTTAATGAATCAAATATAATTTAAAAAGTCACAAAAGCATCTATATTAAAATGACTATCTGCATACTACTTTTTATTCATCCTTTATGAGCAAAGAGCAAAATAAAAAAAGTATGTTATTTCCAGGTGCTGTTCTTTACGATGGAGGGTTAAATTAAAATGAGCAATGAGTGACTCTGAATTATTAAAGACAGTTTTGAAAAATAACTTTTCTCTTCCTTCTTTTTCAGCACGCAAAGTTTGAATTCGATTAACGTCTTCTTCAGCCAAATCAAGCCACTCAACAAAAGCAAGTATATTTTGTTCACGTCCGAAATCACCCAGCTTACATTCAATATTTGCAATTCGTAAATCGAAGTTCCTTGCTTTTTCGATCAACTCATCTACTGCTTCCCTCCAACGACTGTTGCTGTTTTCTATCAGCAATATTAGCTGAAAGAATTCTAATTTATTATCCTACATATCAAGTAAACCTTGAAAAGATGACATAACAGACAACAATTTCTGAGATATGAATGTTAAGACTGTAAAAAAGTGAAAAAGCCTCAAAAAAAAAGCAGACGAGTGAATTATTTTCAGCTGAAAATTATAATTTTTAAGAATACAACAATTAGAAGCTATCAGATTGGAAACACAAAGCTTATTGGATATCTACAGTGCAAACAATTTTTCTTTTCCCTGCTCCTATTAAACTTGTCAAAATTCGACATTTTCTTTAATATCATTAGTTCAACTTTTAAATAAAAGGCTTTTTCATAACATATTTCAGCACCCTTTTGAAGTACGGAATATACTTCATGAGATGTTAAAGAAAACCACGATAAACACTTCAAAGTTACAAGATGCTTAGAAACTTTATGAAGTAAAGTTGCCTATGTAAATAATTCCCTGCTCAATATATAAAAAGAACAAAGAAAATTAAAGTAACTTTATAACGAATTCATACCATTTTTTAAAAGTTTGAAGTAAAAAAATCGCACCCTGTCAAGCTCTTCTTTCCAAGGGATCCACTGCGTGATTATATTATTTTGAAAAGCTTCGAAACTCCCTTTAACAATATCATGTTCAATAACAGTTTCTAATTGTTGTTCTTTCTGCGTCAAAATCACAAGTGATCTCCCCACACAATCTTCCACAGTTACTCGTCGAACCTCTTGTCGTTTTTCCATAAACGGTTTTAATTTGGAAAGAATCTGAAGATGAAATATTCAGCTAAATTGTGCAACTTTTAATCCCTAACTCCTAATCTATTTCCATGAACACAAAAAGCGATTTCATTTTCAAATTCTTAAGAGTGAAATAATGGCTTTAATTATAATATAATTGATTTTAATATTTATAAAACCCCTGGCTCTAGAAATAATTTCAATATTTGAACATATATAGTCTTTTTCTTTTCATAATGCAAAATCTAAACTGAAGATTTCATGAAATTATAAATATACTTGCATCAAAACATTTCTGAAATTAAAATGCTTCTTTCAACACTATCCATCTAAAAAAGTGAGTGAAAAGTTCAGCACAGAGCTCTGTGAAATGATTCAACTCCGATCACTTTAAAATAAAGACTTCCTGCTTAGTTAAGATACGAATATACTCTAATTTTAATCTTACTCAACTTCACCAACCATTTTAAAAGACGATCACACGACTAGTACACATTACTAGTAAGGGTAACGATGTCATTAATCAATACAAGAAAGGATAGTTCTATTCACTTACTTCATTTGCTTTGCTATGTTCATCAGCCTTAAGATCACTAACAATCGCTGTGAGTCGATTCATCAGTTCAGTTTCTTTCTTCCCATTCTCCTATATATGCGGTATTTTATTTTGTGCTCAAGAAAATGCAAAGTGCTGTCGCAAAGATTTTAAAACCAGTTTTCTGAGTCACTTTAATATTTTTTCAAATTTTGAGATTCTGGATCTAAATCGCTGCTTAAAAAAACAGTATTCAGGTATATTTTGGTTACAATGTGAATAAAATCAAATGAAAGAGTACCAGTGAAACAGCTATGAATTCAGCGGCATTATCAAGATGTTCACACGTACGAATGTCAGTAAGAAAAACACTTTCCAACTGATTAGAAACTTCAAAAAATTCTTGAAAAAGCTTGGAAAACTCCAGTGATTTCTCCTGTAAGCTTTGAAGGAAGATAATTGTGTGATTTTCTGCTGTTTTATTTTTGAGCAAAATTTCATTTTTAATCCTATCATCTTATTTTTCCCTAGTTTGGAAATAAATTTTAAATTACAAGAATAATTAACAAATAAAAAGCATGCACTTCGGAAATCTCAAAAAAAGGAAGTCCATAGAAGAGATGAACTGCACTTTGCATGTTCACTAATTCAGTTGCAAATTAAAATTTTGTTAATACTCACGATAGGACCAATAATTAAAGGAATATCTTTAATTCTGTTCACAGCATCGACAACTGATGTACCAGTAATCGTCATATTAGCTTGAAGTTCACATTCTGCAAGCTCTGCTCCGAATTCATTTATCCTACTCAACACTGCACTCATTTCGTTCGTCTGAAATACAGAAAGGTAACTGAATGTTAGAAAATATTTAATATGGGCAAAAGAATATGACAAAATAAAAAGGACTGAAATTCATCAGACAGTTTCTGATTGGTATAGAAACTGATATTTGGTGCAGTGAATATCAGTAACGAGCAAAACAAATATTCAATGGAAAAGCTTGAAAAATTTCATACAATTCGCTGCACATCGACCTCAGCACCAATTGAGGTTTCATGGACTGTACTGAGCAACTTATCCTCGGCATTTGTTACGAATTTCAGAAACTCTTTGAATTTTAATATGAGAATTTTCCGCTTTGCCATCAAATTCACCAATTTGTCTAGTTGTGATAGAAGGATCCGTAGCCTATAAAGCAGAAATCGACTAATAATTACATTCATCATAATTACTGATTTCTGAAGATAATCTAAACTAAATTCTGATTTTTATACACAAATTTGCTTCCGAATTATTGCTGTTTAATGATACCATTTTCACTATCTACAATGATTACAGTCTTCACTGTTTTCAATGATTACAGTTTCACTATTCCTCACAATATAAATGTGCCACATGCCATTCCCCTCACGACAAATTTCTTAATAACGTAATTATGTAATTAATCTACTTAGCAAATTACTGTGCTGGCATCGCTGGCGTCGCATAAATTTTTTTTCCGTCAAATCATTTGTCTTCCTTATCTGCTTTCTGCATGACAGCACAAAGTTTCAAGCAGTTATCTGTTATGTATCGGACTAAATTCAAACTTCATTGAAAATCCTCGTGATATGTTTCAAGATACTGCCTTTTGTTTATGTCGATTTCTGTCTACCGAAGTTAGAGTCTTAGTTATAAAGTAAGAGTTTACTTTTCTTTAATTCTATCACACTCGAGCTGAACGAAGGACGCGTGCACAGATTCAATTTGCGAACACAGCGCAGTTGCATCAGGGGCGTACTCTTTTTCAGCTAGAGCTAATAGCTCCTCTAACCTCGCCAGTACCTTATCTACCTGTAAAGCTCTTTCCTAGTTGCACAGAGCGATTTTTAAAATATCACACTTGTTTCTGTTCAGTATTTCATATAGCCTTCCTCTTAAAAAAAACTTTCACTTTATCATTTCTATTTTATTTCGGAGTGCGAAAAATAACAATCGAATTTTTCAATAGTTTTTTGAGTAGAAGAAGTTCGGTGATCTTTTTGTTTCGATAGTATGTCAAGTTCAAATTTTTTAGGTAAATCTTTTAATGCACTTATTAAACCAGAACTGCATTCTATTTTAACTTTCAAAAATGCTTTTGTAAATATACGCTATAGCTGTTTATGTTAAGTTCTTCATGCACAGTAAGCGAGCATGTACTTTCCTCAAACTTCTCAAGATACACATCCAAAATACATAATAATTTTTGCCAACACTCTCTCTACACATAACTGTGCTAATCTTGCCAAAAATTTATAGAAGAAAAATTTCTTTAGTCAAAAAGTTTTTTCTAAATGAGCAAAATTTTGAGTTTAAAGGATAAAAAGAGCTGAGAACGCGAAGACCTAATACAGAATGATGTATGCATCAAAAAAATATATAAACTTCTAGTAAATGATTCAGCTGGAAAATATAATAGGCAATAATCATAAATGAACTGAAATGAAAATAACCTGTTGTGATGTAATAGAATTCCACAGGTTATTTTCTTGCTTAATGGCTTGCAAAGTATCATGAAATTGTTGCAAGCGAGTGAATAGATCCATCTTGGTTTGTAAGATTTTCTGAGTCTCTTCGACTGCTACAAAAACTTTTTCAACCCTCGGATAGCTGCCACTCAGTATATGTTTGACCTCTTCTTTTTCGTAATCCTAAACTTAAACAAATACAAAAGTAATAAAAAAAATTTCATTTCGATACTTGAATGTGCATGAATTTTGAAAAAATGTCAGCGTTTGATGAGAATTTTCTAAATGATGAATAAGTGGGATAAAAATGTGAAAACGACCTACTTTCGTTTACTTAAAAAAAGTAATGGCTGAACACTGATGACAAATTCTAAGATACTGTCTCGAAGGGTGATAATTTGCGATTTAATATGAAACAAATGAAAGAAAAAAGAAGCTAAGAGATGGAAACAGAATATATTTTATGCTGGCTATCCGAAATTACATATTTTAATGATGCTAAAAATCCAGTGCATTCAATACAATGTTTTTTAGTAGCGAACTGATACACATGTCCTTCAATTCTGACAAAGTAAATAAAATGATACTCGATAGAAAACAATCAATCAAAACTTAAAACTGGCGAATTTACAGACATCAAAAATCTACATGTAATTTTCTAAATTTTGATCGTAGAAAATTCTGACACTGATGGTTTCAAAAATCAATCCTATTTTTTCAGCAGATTCCTGACAACTTTAAAACTTTGGCAAAAGAGAAACACAGGGCAAATAAATATACATGAAAAAGCTTTCATTTTTAATTCTTTGTATGAACAACACTTTGCAGAGAAATAAGCACCAATGTGTAGTTAATTTTTATTTGGAACTTATGATAAAAGCTCAAAATTTTTCATCAACACGAAAAAATTAAATTTTGAAAGAAATGCAATGAATGAAAAATGCAAAGAATATTTATGTAATCTCTACAACTGGAAAAATATACAAGTTATTAGAATGAGACAATTATCCATCTATTTTCCCTCCCATCTCATTAATGCGTCTGCAAAGAGGATATTCACGCTAATTCTTTTCCAGCAGCTAACCAAATTTAACCAGTTTTTTTTGAATGTGATGCCTAACCAGACTCATAGAAACACTTTGGAAAGAAAGTTCATTTTCGGCTGATGTATGACCCGCTATTTCACATGTCTCGTATATCACACTGCTTTTTTTGAATAAACAAATATTATGTTTACTTAAAAAATCAATGTTATGCTTTATATCATCAATCAAGTTACTTAATCATTACCATTTCTCTAGCAATTAAAATTATTAAACTACGAAATTCAACAATTTTTCAATAAATTTACTGATTCAAAAAGGAATGTTTAGCTCAAAAGGGTGAAAATCTCTTTTCACACACTATGCTTGAAAATAGACACTAAATGTTGGTGAGAGTAAATCAAAGAGCCCTACTGCTGATGAACATCGTTCAATATTGAATTTACTGTCAGCAACTCCTCAACTTACAACAAACCAATCGCTCCCGATTTTTGTTTCCTATCTCCTCTATCTATTGAAGCTGATTAGACACTTTACGTGAACTTGATCAATGACAAAAAAGTTAGGCATCATAAATATTCGCCAGCAATCCACCTCCACTACCCGTAAGCTCTAATTTTCTATATTTCACTGAATTGTTTTTAATCTTCACAACGCTACATTTAAATATTTAATGAATGAGTAGAAAATGATTCATTTATTTTTGTTCCTTTTCATTTAATGGCTTACGTCTCACGAAATGGATTTGCGAGTCCAAAAATACCCTAGAACAATATTTCAAGGCAGAACAAAGTGTTCATAATAAAATGGTCATTTTTTATAAACTTATTATTTAATCAAATAAATTCACGCTGCTTATTCTTTGCTATACTTTGACATTACACAAAATAGCTAAAAGTACTAATATCATTTGCTCAATCACATCTCTTTATATCATCCAAAAAGAAACGACTCAATTATGGAATAGCAAATATTAATAAAATATAATTTGAAAAGTATCCGTCAAGAAAAATGTTAAATACTACAATGACATGCATGCTAAAAGAAGGAATAAAAGCAAATATATGAAAGAGATAACTTGCATATAAAATAGATTCAGAAAGGGTGATATGATATTGCATAACTGAACACAAGCAGTATGGCAAGAGGAAGAAATGAGGAGCAAGAAACATTTCAGATAAATTAAGCACCGAAAACAAGAAAATTTATAAAAATGAAAGGGATAGGCAGAGGTAGGTAGGATGCGACATCGACGTATGGAAAATAAATGAATTGAGCCATGTCATAAAATAGCAATAAGAATGAATAGCGAGTGGAACGATGCCAGACGATGTTGCCGCTCTCTGTCGCCATCAGCACAAACTACTTGCTTCATTCTTTTTGCTTTCTTACACTAACAACAACACACCTAACACTAACACTAGAAGAAGCACATTAGATACATCTCTCGTCATCATAAACTATTACTTCTGCATTGCAAACATACATTATTGAACATCATCTCCATCTAAATGATATAATTGACTATCTTACCTCACAGCTCAGCCAACTACGAATTCGTAAGCACTATTAAATACCGCTACTATCTATCTCTCTTTCATTTGCATTATTATCTCAAATTCATATAACCCCTTTCTAAGCGTTCTTGCAGCACAAATCTTAACAATGCTATTATAGTAACAATCGACCACGTTATTATTTCCCATTCTCATTAAACATACGCATATTATTGAATGGACCAGGAATGAAACTTTAGTATTCGCTCGCACATAAAAGTTCAGAGTATGCCTTTTCGTTTCACTGCTTCAATAATGTAAGAAAGGGCAGAGAGTTAACGACGTTCAATATCATTTCCGTATCAATGTATGAGCGCGGAAGGAGACGTTAAGGTAAAGAGAGAGAGAGAATTCAACAAAGAAAATGTATGATGATGAACAACGTTCTTCGTTGCTCCTTGCAGCGAAAGCGATGCACATAGAAAAGATTTAATCGGAGAGTGAACTTTAAACTGCAAAAAAGAAGAATGCAGAGATTCCTGGATAAGTACTTAAAGTACTGAGAGGTGGCTAATTCTGGGAATTAATTGATAAGTTTGACAGACATCTATGAAGAACCAAAATTTCAAGAAGATCAAAGACTACCATAATTAGTGCACTGAACAAATGACGAGTATGACTGTCGCAAATGCTAACGCGCACTTGTACAAATAATTTAAAGCACGGAAGAAGAATCTATTTTAGATTTTATCCATTCCTACATATTGAGTAATCATTTTTCAAGCCTTATGACGACGATAATAGTTGCATGTATGAATGAAAGAATTATGGATTCAATCACACTGACCCCAATGAATCTGCCAGCCATTAACATTATTCTGCGTTTATCACCAAGAAAGTTTGCAGTTAATCGATTAGTTGTTTAAAAATTCTAAAAATTAGTATAAGTTCCTTCTTCGTAACAGACAGTTTTTCGATTTCCGTAACTTACAGAAAGTTTTGACACACTTTCGTAACTGAGAAACAGTTTTTGGTTCAGATACCAATGCAAGTCTGAACTTCAAAACAAAAGTAACTAATTCTAACCAAATATGTACAAATAATTACAATACTTCTTTAAATCACCTTAATGACATTTCTGACCTTTCTAAACTTCAGAAAAAAAAACTTGG